AAAAAAGTCCCATATTAAATACATAACAAACACCAACACTAATAAATACAACGTCTAAGATTAGTCCAAATTTTTTTTTTTTTTACAATACAGCTAGTTCAAATTTACCTCTTGAGGTGAACAATCTCATCTGTTTCGCACGTCAGTTTGTGTGCGTGTTTGCCACCGTCGATGACACGGGCTCCATCACGTTTTCTCATTGGTAGTTTATCTATTGTGCAATCTGAAATAAAATGTTACATTATCATCAAGTGTTTCATACACAAACTTTAGTATACTACATGTACACCATACCAGATGAACATTAGAGAATGGGATCGAAAAATCATTTGTTTTAGTAGAAACCAAACATTAAATAGACTGACTCACTTGTGCATACAGTTTTTACAGGTTGCAACTAATTTATAAAAACATTTTTAATCACTTCACCTATCAAAGGGGGGTTGGTGTGACTAAATTAATTGTTCTTTATTTAGATCAGTTTTTGTTTTAATTTTATTCATCTAGTAATTGTTTTTAACATTTATTTTTAACTCAGTCTTTATTTTATTCTAACATCCTATTATTGTATTGTATTGCATTGTCCTAATCTTGTAATACTTTTTTATTTACCATACTGAACCCGCTGATGGTTTGGTAGTGTAATAAAGTTATTATTATTATCATTATAAATGTATGTAACTGTATGAGCTCCTCTAACAGCAAATATTTTGTACTTACAACCAATTTAATTTTACAAGAGACAAATTATCATGAATTTTGCAAGACAGAGAAACACGTGAGATTATGTAGAAGTGAAATTTCAGCTGCGGTGCTATAATAGTATCTGTTAATAATTTTTGTGAATTCCTGTCTTCATAAATTTCATAAATTAGAAAATCACAAAGATTTCTGACAATGACAGTGTGTACATGTAAGTAGCTAAAGTCCTGCAGTTCTTGTTTTTTTTCTAGAATTAATGCAGTAGTTTTGTTCATTGTGGATAATCATGAAACCAGGGACAAAGAAATATCGGTAATAATAATTTCCAAGCAATAATCACCCAATAAGAGTGCCTGGCAAAGATTCTCTTGTACGTCACATGAAATGTTGATCGAGTAATTGTCTGTTCATTTTTGCAGACAGAGGTACAAGAAGGTGATATTATTGATTACAAGTCGTTTGGACCCCTCGCCGTTTGGACCCCAGAACGATTAGACCCCAGGACGTTTCGACCCCTCGACGGTATAACCGCTTGACGTCACACTTCTCAACATTTGCACCCAGCATTATTTGTCAAAAGTTGCAACATTTTACTGGATAAAACTAGATACCTGACTTTGGCAACAGAATCGCGAATTACGGCGATCACTCGACGGTTGAACCCCTCGTCGTCACAACCCCAAACGTTTGAACCCACTCTTATTACGAATATGAATACTGCCCGATCAAAAGCAACAACCACTTCACTGTATAAAATTGTTACCTTGTTACCTATCCTCCAGATGCCTAGTGGCACATAGGGCCTCA